TTGAGAAAATCACCTTTAAAGTTGTCCAAATTAAGTTCTTAGCAAATTATATTAGTAATCAAAATGTATGTTTTGATATATTTACAGTAGGAACTTTACAAAATATCTTCAATAAACATGATCTTTACTTAATATCCTAATGATTTTTGTCATAAAAGAAAAATCATTAATTCTGACCCATACAATGTATTTTTGGCTATTGCTAGAAATATACCCGTGCCACTTAAGACTGGTTTTGTGATCCAGGGTCACATATATGAACTACTGTCAAAAATCGTATTAAATTAACGTCTGTACAATTAGTTAAGTCTGTACATTGATTGTTAAGATCTGGGCCACTGAAAGGACAGTTTAACCCCTTTTTGTCTGTGTGTTTAGGAGGCATACTCTGTAGCGAGGCAGTTTAATTTAATTCCACCGGTATGTGAGCAGGCCGAGTATCACTATTTCCAGAGGGATAAAGTCGAGGTGCAGCTGCCAGAGCTCTACCACAAGATCGGTCAGTCAACAAGAGTTACCTTAGAATGAAATTTAAAATACATAATTGAAACCTTTAATGAATGTATTTTTTTCTATTTAAATTTTAATTATTACAAAGTGATCTTTTTAAAGTGACTTAAGTATGTTAAGAAAGTCATGAAATTGGACTATTTAAACACACTCAAATGACTTTTTATTGCATCAAGATTATCTGCAAGTACAGTGTTTTAAAATAGTCTTAAAGGTTTAAACTACATGTCATTGTGGTGTTACCACAATATACAATATAGAATAACTTTAAAGGTCTATGTCATTAAACCAAGTGTGTAATTATTCAACTAGCTAACAATAAAGATGTTGTCAGTTAAGCTAACTTTGTTTTAGTGAAATCATTTCATTGCAATGGCAGTTGCTCAGCTGGTATATATGCTGCCCGTTAAGTATTCAACGTGCCATGGGACGTAAATGTCATGTGACTGATCTCTTAAGAGCTCTTCGAAGCTGATGGGGAAAGCTAAAAGCCAAAATTAGTCGCTGGTGAAACATATAATACAAAATAAACTATTTCTGATGTTTTTGATGTTTCATACTACAAAACTACATTTAGCCAATACAGAACAGAATGGCAGGATGCATTTACCGTGTCTATCTTGACCCCTGCTCCAGCGAGAAAAGATTTGAACTGAAAGAGAAAATTGACTGAAGTATTATTCTACAGTGCTATGCTGCAAATGCAGCTTTTTTAATGCGCAACATGAACTTCATTTAAAGTTGAAGTTCATGTTTGATTTGAGGTTTAATTAGGACAGATGTCAACTCTAACTCCATGTCTTGTGACTGTCACATGCTGCGTCAGGTGTCGGCGCGATGACCTGGTCTCCTCTCGCATGTGGGCTGATCACTGGAAAATACAGTGATGGTGTTCCAGACTGTTCAAGAGCCGGGATCAAAGTGAGTCCTAAAGAGTTTGTCAACAGCAGTGGATTTTTTCTCTCTTCTCCTGAATCTCTTTTCAATTTCCAAGTGCTATTTGGTTTGAAATTGTATCATCTAAATCATATTATAATCATGAATAAATCCATGTGAGCAATCATAAATGTTGTGTGACTGTGTGTATTAGGGCTATCAGTGGCTAAAGGAGCGAGTGTACAGTGAAGAAGGGCGCAGACAGCTGGCAAAAATCAAAGAGCTCCACCTGGTGGCTGACAGGCTGGGCTGCACAGCTGCTCAGCTCGCGATTGGTGAGTCAGTGTCTCTATACCTTTGGTGTAAATGGTCTCGTCCACTCTCAAACTTATTTTGGCCAAGAATCGTTGAAGTTGTATAAAGTCAGCCAGGCAAATTAGAGCATGCCAGACTGAGAAAGTGTTTGTCATTATTGTGCGATATGCTGCATCAGATAGTCATTGAACGGTCTGTGCTTTCAAATGTCTTGATGTTTTTTTATAAAACCCAGTGCTTGTGAACAATAAGGTTTTGTGAAATCTCTCACTCAGCATGGTGTTTGCGTAGCGAAGGGGTCAGTTCTGTACTTCTTGGTGTCTCCAATACAGACCAGCTTCTTGAGAACCTTGGAGCCCTGCGGGTAACACACACACACACACACACACACACACACACACACACGCACGCACGCACGCATGCGCGTTTGTTTGATTATCTCAGTGAGGACATTGCATAGACTTCCATCGATTTTCTATCAGGTCATATTTTCTATCAGCTAACCCAACCCTTACCACTAAACTTACCTATTACAGAAACATGTGCACACACACACACACACACACACACACACACACAC